ACCATGTTTTTGGCTTGTCCTGAATCACTACGGTACACCTATAATAAGTGTTTATATTCAGACTATTTTAGATTGGTTCGGGTAGGTACCGCTACGGAGTAGCCCGGTACCTGCGTGATTCGTGATAGACATAAACAGAGAGAAGTAGCTCCGGCTACAATGTTCTTCCGCAAGACTCATACAGTTCTGTTTATTAACCGCTAGAGCACCAAAAGTTACAGACTGCAGCTTTAAATATTTTGGCTAATTTGCTTATGCTTCCTGCTATCAGTAAGAAAAGAACATAGTATTTTCAGGTCAGCTGAACACATTTTACCATGTTCACCCAAAAAAAAGTTAAATATCTGATTTTCTGCCAAAGGCCCAACCTCACTAAAAGAATTACACAATCTATGTCCTGTCCACTTCGTATTCACACAATAAGTTGGAATTTTGACTAGTGCAGCTTTTTTAATGACTATGTTAGTAATATCCATACTTAACTTACTAAAAGGCATGTGTAGAGTTTTGCAAAAAAGAACAACCATCGATCACAAAGGAAAGGTATAGGAAAAAGGGGAAAACGGCAGCAGATTCCGTCTGGGCATGCTAATAGGGATGTTCTAACTGTAAAAAAGCACTGTGGCACAGTGAAGTATATGGAAACAGTCTTCCCTCCATTCTCAGTGACCGGCAATACGGCAGACACGTGCTCAGGCAGCACACTACTATTAACTAATGACACAGAGCAGGTCCTCACATACGAGAGGCTCACATATTAATTAAGGCCAGCACTGAACCTGAGTGCAGTCTACACACACTCACACAAGTCAGAGTTATTAACCCCTAACTGAGGCTAACAGGCCACAAAGTGACCTCCACTCACAACGGGTGACGTAACCATTCAGGACACTCTCTGGCACAACACACATACACACACAGTCAGATTAAAACACTCTACAAACACAACCACAGAGTAGCTGCTTGAACAGATGAAACTGATATTTCTCATTTGAATGCATAAATAAACGATCACGTCGTTGTCTGTTTCTGTCAGTGACAGATGTAATTCGCCTCCTACAGCGCAGTAACATCCGCACAACGTGCGCTCGCTGACTTTCTGCTGTCTGTTCTCTGAGAGAATCAAAACAGCTTGATGCTCTTTTGAATTGGAAAGGAATTTGAAGCACACGGCACAGTGCATTGTCGCTACAGATTCGGCTAAAATGGGAATGAATGACTGCAATGAAACGGAGAAGAGCTGACAAAGACTGGCACGTGACACAGGGCAGCCCTAGAAGTGAGTGACACACGGATGAAGGCTTTGTTTTGAACATAAAATACCACAAAAGGGGACGTCATTCCTGTTCAATGAGCTGCACAGTCTGGAAAAAAAGCTGAAAACCTGAGCCGTAAACCTACAGTGCCTTCGCAAAAGATGATGGGAGAAAATCCCAGGATAATCTGAGATGACAGTGCAGCCCATGCGTCTGTGAAACAGGTATGGATGCTCAGTCAGAAGCCAATGACCCCCCGCAACAAAAGAAGCACATCAAAAGCGTCTGCGTCATCGTGATTCATCTCCTGTGACTGCGTACGAATGAATAAAGAAAAACAGAATGAATGCCCAGGGTGATGATGAAGAGAGAGAAGGAGAGAGAGCTCTCCACTAGATGTGTTTCACAAGCCAAACAATGCTAGAACACAGAAGAGTACCTGTGTCACTCTGACATCTCCTGCAGGTGGTGGTTTCTGTAGGGTTCAAATTCAACATTTTACTCAAGGGGGCAAAGAAATATTAAGACAAGATAGTATCAGTAAGCAGAGTTGACGTCATCAATGGGTGAACTGATGTCCTGGTTGAATTGATGGGACTTAACGAGGTTCTTAACCCTGGTTCTGCGAAACACTGACTTCTCATCTCAGAGGAAGAAGTGATCTAAATATCAATGCATTTGCTGAAATATTCCAGGTGCTTGCACATTTGTCAGAAATTTCAGGCTAAGCAACTCAAATGTAATCTAGAATTATGGTCTAACACAATAATAGTAATATTTAAAAAATGTATGTTACATTTAAAAGTATTAACAAAGAGTATTTGATTCTTCTGAATTTTATTCTAAAATCCTAACATGACATACCAACATCTACAAATCCAAATATGTCCAAAAATACACCACAGAATCTCTCATGACACATCATTTAAATTACAGTTGGACAAATGTGCATAAATCTTGATGACGCTTCATATGACTAACACATTTGTCACTGTGTGAGGAAACATCTAAATATCAAATTAGTCATATTAACAAGCATATTGCTACTCAACCGTCAACGTTTTTTTTCCTACAGGCTATGACTACCCTATATTACTAATGGAAATTCTCTATTGGACTTCATAACAGGTCCTTATGACAAGACAATTCAGGCACAGATGGTTAAAACTGTGATTGTAATGATTTAGAGGATGAATTTGATACACTGTACATGTGCATCAATCTTAGCTGTTCATTCATATCCTTATACACATCATTGATTGGTTGTGTATTTCTACAGTAAACTTAACAATATAACAATTTAAAATAACTGTTTTCTTTTTTAATGCATTTTAAAATGCAATTTATTCCAGTGATGGCAAAGCTGAATTTTTAGCATTCCCCAGTATTCAGTGTCAGATGATCCTTCAGAAATCATTGTAATGTAATAATTTGGTGCTCAAGAAATCTTTCTTATTACGATCACAGTTGAAAATGGTTTATTATCACAGTCTGCTTAATATTTTGTTGAAAAGTATTATACTTTTTTCAGAATTCTTTGATGAACAGAAAGCTCAAAAGATTATTTGAATTATTTGAAAACATTATAAACGTATTTACTATCACTTTTAATCAATTTAATGCATCCCTGCTGATCATTTCTTTCAAAAAAATAAAAAAAATAAAAATCTTACTGACCCCACACTTTTGAAGAGTGGTGTATAAAATGTTTCTGAAATTACTACAAATATATCAGATTAAAAGATCAGCGTACAATGATTTCTTACAACAGCTACAATTATGAATATTATTAATAATTAATAATATAAATAATTAATAATTCTCCAACTAACACTAGACTGATGTCTATATTACTGTCTTTGAACACCTCCCATCCATTCAGAATTTAAAATCCAAACTATCCTATCACAAACTTCAGCAGTAATCTGACAGTTTATGGTTTGTTTCCTTTGTTAACACAGCCTACTTCTTTAGATGTTTACCTTGCATCCACTTTGTAACTAAGGGCAATGGTAAATGTTTGCACTGGGGCAATGGCACTTTATCACTGTCTGTGGAAAATTCATGAAATGCATTTGCTAGTCTGCTTTTTGCACTAACAGCTAAAGCTGTAAAATAAAACCTGTAATGTATGTTATTTCTGTGATTTCTCTTTTGTAACCTAAGACACTTACTATAAATGCAGCAATACATGACACATTTAAGTCTATTTTACTACTACTATAAATGTAGTAATTATTCATTTTATACATTAGACAATCAACAACCATAAATCATTCTAATATCCAAATACAAACTTTAAAAACAATAAACACAGAGAAAATACACAGAGATGTCTTACTGTCTTAACCTCAAGACAAAGTAGCGTAGTTTTAGACAGCTTAGGAAAATGTAACTAGTGTAAAACATTAGTACGCCAATATGTTAGCATAACATTTGCATGTTTATTTAAAGTAAATCCAGCAAACAAAAACGACACACGGCAAAGAGCACCGAGCTATTAAAAGCTCCTCACCACTGAGGAGGAAGTTTCACACATGAACAGCAGGATCCTCATTACAGCAAACTGCTGTTTATTTCCCCATCAGCATGTACTCCGAGGCCGAGAGCTTTAACAAAACTTCACAGGAACCTGTAGACTTTGCTCAAGCAGTATATTATCCTTACAACGCTTTAACTGCCGCCCTGTAGCAGTTACAAGAAACAACTACTTACTATAAATATCTAGGGATCATGCCTAGACTTAGACACTGCTGTAGAAACACAAGAGATGAAGCCGGCTTTCTAAATATACAAACATCAGGGGCATAGGCATCACAAATCCCCCCCCTCACAGAATTCCCATGTTCATTCCCTCACAAATTGCCCCTATGGCCCTTCAAACAGAACCTCGAATGCAATGCAAAAAACCTCTCCCCCATCCAATGATTTACAACCCTGTAAAGAACGAACACACACTCGCTGCCAACAGTAGCCGGCATAGAGGAAGAGACTCTCCATGTAACCGGCTGGAGCCACGCTGTCGCCAGGCTCACATCAACCCGCTAAAGGACTGACAAAAACACTGTGCCTCAAGTAGATCAGCTCTCCTCCTGGAGATAATCAAGCTCACTCTGACCCTCTATGTGTGAGCGTTTGTGTGGGAGAGAGGGAACAAGTTCAAACGCAGTCAGTTGTTACGACTCGATCATGTGCAGGACTTGCGCATACACCTGCCTGCAACTCGCCCGCATGCACTCCGGCAAACAAAAACAACACACGGGCAAAGAGCACCGAGCTATTAAAAGCTCCTCACCATCGAGGAGGAAGTTTCTCACATGAACAGCAGGATCCTCATTACAGCAAACTGCTGTTTATTTCCCCATCAGCATGTACTCCGAGGCCGAGAGCTTTAACAAAACTTCACAGGAACCTGTAGACTTTGCTCAAGCAGTATATTATCCTTACAACGCTTTAACTGCCGCCCTGTAGCAGTTACTGAGATCTGGCTCTCATCGCAGTCTTCTCATTGCACAGAGAAAATGGGATTTTACCAGCAGGCAAAGACGAACCCGTGAGAAATCTACGAGCTTTTCTGTCTATCTCGGTCTGATTGTCTGGGGCTCTCTCTCTCTGTTTTCCCTCTCTTCGCCTGTCCAGCGACTGCACAATGCACATCAATTATTCAGCGGCGATCTCTGGGTTTCCAGTGCAAAGCCAATCACAGATAGAGTTCTGTGCTAATGGGCTCATGCTATACCTGGCTCCTCTGCTCCAAGACGTAGCCCACAGGGAATCAGGTTAAGCTCTTCGAAAACTTCAGACACACAAATACAGAATGACAAGTCTGTAAAGTGTCTGCAGTGCAAAACCACAAAATGAACAGGAAGCACCGTTGTGTTTCAAAAGGGTTAAAAAAAGAAGCAAGAGAGAAAGAAAGAGAGGGACGTGGGGGCAGGGAAAGAGAAGAGAGACAGAGGAAGAAAAAGCAGCAAATGTCCTCTCACCTCAGATGTATGGTGTCCTAAGTGACGTCCACATGCCTAAAACCCTCATTCATTCATACAAACACACACGCACTCACGCACACACTCACATCCATGCAATGCGACGGCCACTTTGCCAGAGGGCAGGGGGGGGGGGGGGCATGGGCGGCTCACATTTCAAACTTGCAAAGAGGGGGCGGGGCCTATAGTGGCAGACGGGCTGTATCTTGGCCCTCAACCAAATCATCCAAAGAAAGACTGAGAACAAACAACACGTTCAGATCAATTCGGTTAATGCTGCGTTCGCAGCCCTGCGATTACTGCTATCAAAGCGGGTGAATCCCGTTCATTGGTGAGCTAATCACATGACACTGAAGTATAAATCCATCAGACTGCGCACACTAATTAAGCCCGGGGCTGGTGGGCGGCCCTCCTGAGTGTCGTGCGAGGGTGAAATTAATGGAAACTGTGTTAGCTTTTAACGCTAAGTGCCTAACTTGACACTTGCTAACACTGTTAATTACACACATCTAAAAGTGTTGAATATCAGAAAGGGATCCAGCACTTCCCTGGGCTGTCAATAGCATGTGTCCATTAATGAATGAATACATAGCTGTTCTTCAGTCCTTGAATTAGCATCGCCTAATTTGCTAATAAAAACGCTGTATCAACAGCAGGATTTTTCTTGACGCTGCACAAAAAAAAAGCACTGTAATAATTTCAAGTGACATCAAATTAGCAATAATTAATTGAAAGCTCCAATGTACTGTAGCCACAAAGACTTACTATGTAGCACGAAGCATCAAGACCTCAGTGTGCGCGCCGTCTCCCTGGCCGGCATTGAAGCGCTGCGTGTGACAGATACCTTTAATATCAAGCTACGAGGGGATGAAATAACTCAGAGAAAATGAGAGATGTCAAGGCTACGGGCTACATGAAAAAGGAGGTGAAGAGCCAAAGCTGGTTCAAACAGGAACTTGAGCTTCCTTTAACTTTTACTGCAAAGCAGTGAGTCATAACCCTCCACCAACACAAACACATCACTCCAGTCATTCTCTGCAGCTCTCAACTTCAGTACTTTACAAATGAGTAATCTTATAAATAACCTGATGCTTTTGATGTAAAAATCTATCATAATACAGCAGAATAGTTTCAGATTACAAGCTACAATGAAATAATCAGCTTGTTTCTGTAAGAACAACAAGTCTAGCAGATCTGGAGCATCTAAAAGTAGCTGAACTGTTGCTGAATGATTACATCAGAAGAAAAGAGAAGAATCTTGAAACTGATTTAAGTCCCAAATTAACTTTATGTCTCACCAGACAATGGTGGATTTTATCTTTTCATAAATATTTCTGAACTGTACATTTAAACATTTCTTAACTAAAATACAAAAATGTACATATCTGAATTTTATATTTTATGTTTTTTTTCTACAGTTTTAGTGCAGTTTTTGGAGTTTGTTACAATTAATGTTATCATCCAACTAGCTAATCAACAATAGTCAATATTTATTCACATTTGTTGAATTGGCATTGAAATTGTAGAATTGCTTGGTAATTGTTAATTCTGGCAATTGGTGATTGTGACCCACTAACGATCTCTACTTTGATGTAGACTCAAAGCCACAGTGATCGTCTGAAGTAAACGTATGAAGTGAGAACTGTACGCAGATAGAGGTAGGCAGGGTTTGCGGTATATCAAACCAACGGGGAGGTCCCCAGGCTTGAGTTTCTTGTGTATTTGTACTTGTGTCTTCTCTGTAAACCATGTGTGTACATGACATGTGAATTACGGCTGGGTGCTGGAAAGTGATCCGTCACCCTCGACATGGCGGATTGGTTGCTCTCCTGACGTGCCTTCCAGCTGGGCTGATTTACAAGCTGCTGACAGACTTCCTATATGGAGCAGGAACATTCCTCACTATTGCGTTGAGAGATCCATTTCAACCCACAGTGTGGCCATTGGCCAATTTCATACTTTAGCCAATCCGCTGCTCAGAGAACAGCCGTGTGTCAACTTTACTTTGACATGCAATTGCATCAAACAACTGTATCTTTATATAAAAAAAAAACAAAAAAAAAACAATCAGGGCCAAAAACTTGAATATGGTGAAAGACCTTTCACTAAAATGCAATTAAATGTGTGCACCATCACTCAGTAAGGGTTGCTGAGTGCATAAACTTGTTTTAGTCACAAAACTGTACAAATAACTGTTATATGACTGAATCATAATGAATCAATCATAATATAATTATTATAGAAAGCGACTTAAACTATTTGTTAGTGTCAAAAATGACGCAAACTATGGAATTCTTATAAACACTGGTTAAAGATTTTAGAGGGAAAAACAAAGCATTGTTCAAATTCCTGTACTTAATGTCTTCTGCGCTTCGTGCCAAATCTGCTCAATAACAGACTTTAAAAACACTTGAATTGAGACACACCTTGCAATTATCTTGTCGCAACATCTCACTCTGAACAATGGCACACTATCTCTGCTCCTGTATGCAGGCACAAACGTGATTTGGAAAGTTGACTTTTTTTCAGGAAAGTGTTTAAATAATAGCAGGTTTTCTGAATGGGGCCATTCGAATGAGAAACATGTCCTAATAGATGAACACATTAGCTGTCAATCTCGCAACTAACCTGCTCTCGATTAAATATCAGCATGACACATACAGAGGGAAGAACTCGATTTTGATCTAAGTGAGGAGACTGTTGTGACTGACAGGATATTGTTGTAATACCGTCAAAAGCAATTGTGATGCTGTGTATAATTAACATATGCTCAATAAAAGCATCTCAGACAAGGTATTTAGCATTTCTCGGTACAGACACAATTCTGTGCTCTAAAGAGGGAGATTTTAGACTAAATAATTATCCTACTGCACTGGCGGTGGGGTGCCAAACAAAGCCTGGTTAAATAGTCTGTCAGTAGCATGTAAGCAGAGAAGATCAGACTCAATCAGAGCACTCACACATACACACAAACAGATGCAAACACACCGTGGACAGATAATTCCCATAATCACAGATCAATACTGCCGGATAATCCTGCTGACAGAGAGGTCAGCACTCATAAACCAGCACGCACTAACAGACTAGACTTCATCTACACACATACACCACATCTCACATTCCTGAAGATCAGCTGGTGACAATGCACAATGAGCTTCCATCACTTAGTTTGCACTGATTATATCTTTCTTTTGTCAATGCACTTTTCCAATCAGTATGTTTATGATAATTTATGATAATAATAATAATATTCACAAGAAAATATAAAATATATAATAGTACATTATTATAATAACTATTATTAGTCTTACATATAGAATTATTAATGTTTTTCACATTAAGTTTTTCACATTTTCTATTTCTCCTGTTTTTATACAGTATAAATTAATGTATTATATACATTTTAAATATAATTACAAATGTATTTAATTATTACTCAGCATTAATAATAATAATAAAATGTTTTTATATATAACATTTCACATTTTTTATTTTTTTCCCATGTTAAGTTTATAATATATAAATTAATGTTTTATATTAATTGAACATTTATATATAATTATTTATACATGTTATTTACAACATTAATATTAATACTTAAAGTATTTTCTTTTTTTAACAATTTTGCAAATTTATGTTGTTTTATTGATATTCAGAATAAAAAAAAACAAAAAAAATGGAAAACAAGACAAATATATTGATTAACTGTTTTACAGTGATGATAAAAGTGTGCTCATCAAATTTGTCATTGAAAAATACATGCCTCAAGCAAATGTGTTAGATTTGCCTACATCGCATGTCAAAAACAAAGGAATCCAATTGACCATTTTATAGCACTATAACTGTTGAAATGTAACATTAACAAGAGCTCAAAGCATAAATATATGAATTACTTTACTATATCCTACAAGACATCTTCTGGCATTTATCCATTACAGGTACTTAACATTCTTTTACGAGAGGCAAACAGAAGTGTAATTCTAAGTGTAAGTGGATGATTTTGGCCATCCTCACAGCCAAGTGTCAGCTGCATTGTATATCACAGAGACAGCAAAACATGACGGATTCATCCTGCAGCCGGTGACTGCCTCTCCGCGGCCGCCTGATTGTGCATTGATCGTGTAATGTGGGAGTGCCTCGCTTCTCTCAGGCTCTGAGCGCTCCAGACACACTGAACTCCGGTGTGTGGTGTCGGGTGGCCGCCCCTCTGTCGCCATCCTGCCTGTCACTGGGTTTTCGCTGGGGCTGCACTTTCTCAAATCCCTGACCTGACGTGCATATCTCTTCTCTCTATTTCTTTCCTTTCGCTCTTTCTGTGTGTGTTTGCGTGATGGATGTAGACAGATAAAGAGAGAAAGAGTGTGTGGCATCAAGGAGGACAGAAAACGAGAGGGACGGAAGATGGGTTTATGAGACTGAGCCCTGCCACTGTCGTCTGTGTGTCTGGGGTGGCAGACGCCCTTATGATAGAGGTAAGATGGATGCCCCCATGATGCACTGAGAGAGAGGAAGTCTGAGTCATATCTGCTTCCAGCCATTTCTTTATCAGCCGCTGCTCTGAATGCAACCACTGGTATAAACTCTGCTTGATTTGAAATATTGGAGATATCACTGAAACAGAGAAATATTTCAGCTACCAAACAACAAGCCACGTGAGTGTTACTAACAGCATACTGCCACTATCTCAGCTATTTACTGCAAAAATACATTTATTAATCAGTATTTTTGTCTCGTTTTCGAGTAAAAATTTCTGACGTCCTTAAAACAAATGTAATTACTGGGAGTAAGTAAATTAAAAAGTAAAAAATAATATAAATAAATAAAATAATGTTATTGTTATTGTTAATTATTAATAATCATTGTTTTGTTAACTGAAAAAAAAATAAAAATAAAAATTAATTGAAAAACTTCAATTGTTGAGAAATGTTGTCTTGGTGACTAACTGAAAAAAGCTGTAAAACTAACTAAAACTGAAAAAATAAATTAGAAATAAACCCAAAAACTAATAAAAAAGACAATAACAAAAGACACATAACACATACTAAAACTGAAATGAAAACTGAAAGCATAAAAATAAAAACTATTTCAATGAATACTGTAACAGTATATAAATACTGCTAAAATACCACTGCTTTAAAGTATAAAGACAAAAATATTAATTAAGAAAACAATTTTTGCAGTGATCTAAAAAGAGAAATATGAACAAAAAATGTTTCTGGAAGGCCCAAGGTGTCCCACAGTAACCATGGTTCAAATGGACAGTTTATCTTCATTCTCAACAGCGAGCCATGTCAGGCCTTTCTCAAATGAAGTACACTCACACACCTCAACCCCGGCATTTGCGGGCCATCTATCTCTGTTTGGCTGATGCCCGTCCGCAATTCACTTTGCTAAATGTACAAGAACAGGACACTCAGCTTTGGCTGAGAAGGTCAGGATTTCAAACAGAGCTGATTACAACGCGATGCTGCTCTGCTGATGGATGATTGTTGGAAAGTGAACTCTGGTGGCTTATCAATGAATTATTCGGGGGTGTTTCTGGCACGCCGAGAGCTTCACGTGTAAAATCGTCAGGAAAAGACAACCTCGGGAAGTTAAATCGTCTTAAGGAGATGAGTGAGTGTCGGACAAAGGAAAGTGAAAGGATGCTAATGCATGGCCGTGCGCTGTGATTGCATAATGCCGCAATTAAAAGATTTCCTGTCACATCGCTAAATGAGAAATGTGGATTCATTACAGGCAGAGTGTCTGTAGCAGTGATGAGTGAGAAGAAACATCGCAATGAGAGAAGCGGTTCTCACCTGCCGACTTAGGGGTGAACTTGTCGCGGTTTGCCGCACACACGGCAAGGAGCCGATAGCCGAGGTCCAAGTCAAAACCCTGCTGCGCTGCCACACGACTTACAACCTGCGGAAAGAGACCATATGAGCTTTAAAATGGGTCTTTTTGTACTCACACGCTTCATCTGCATGTGTGTGTCCATTATTCGCATTCACAGGAGAGGTGCAAACAGAGTTCTCCACTAAAAGACTGAAGAAAAATCAAGCTGAAATGTTCTAAACACACTCTTTAGCATTAAGGCTATTGAATTTTTCAATAGTCTACATGAGCTATGTGCAATTAAGCTTCCTTGAAATTCTACCCCAGACTCCCATGAGAGAAGCGAGAACCAGCGGTATACTCGCATCACCCAGCTACCACCCCCCTCTTCCTTGTACACCAAATATCTCTCCAAAAACTACTCATAAAAGAGCAATTTCCCTTTTTTAGTGCAATCATATCAAATATTTATATATGTGCATGAATAATGCACTCAAAGACAAAACAGCCACCTCCACTGATGCAGAATAGTGTTAAGACTGTGTTGATATTTGCAGGGCACGACTGATGAGCTTTCCCTAGAGATCTGTGTGACTGGTGTGCAGACGTCTGTGTTTGTTCTCTGAATACCCCCTGATCCGCAGAGACCACAGCCCGCACTTGGCCCCTTGAACTCGCAACTCCAGCTTCTTTCAAAGCATCTTGTGATCTTTCGCGAAACAATTCAAAAGCGTGTAAATAAAACTCTAAAGCCACATGTAAGACAGAGATGGTAGGTGACAATGTTACACACAGAATACATAACTCTGGCTTAACCTGTGGAATCTCTTAAAGGGACTGAACACCCAAAAATGTCATTTACTCACCCTCATATTTTTCCAAACCTGCATGACTGACTTTTACCATAGAACACAAAAAGAGAAGTTAACTAGAATGTTCAAGCTGCTCTTTTCCGTACAATGAAAGTCAATGGTGACCAAGTTGCTATCAAACTTAAATGATAAACCACTACCCAAAAGTGCCATAACAGCAATCCATATGGATACTGGGGCTGTATATTCCAAGTTAAATAATACCAAGCAAAACTTATTTAGTCCCTCTCAAAAAAAAAAAAAAAAAAAAAAAAGAAAAGAAAAGAAATGTTTTTTTTCACTTGTGACATTTTATTGTCTTTTTTGGAGCTTTACAGCCCCAGTGAGAAAATTCTGCCAAACATCTTATTTATATTTCACAAAAAAAGTAATATGGGATTAGAACATCACAAAATGTAAAAAAAGTAAAAAAAAGACTGAAATTATTTTTTGGTAACCTATTCCATTAAAATGATACAAAAGGAAAGCTTAAATATTTTAGACAACAGGCTGACAATGACAAAAAGAAAAAACATTTAGTGTTTAAGACACCTATTTTTCATTTTAAAGTTATGGGTTTGAATTGCTCTGAATAACATTCAATTTGAAAGAATTCATTTGGTCTCCCCTTTCACCCTCTATTATTCTATCCATCAAAAAAAGACAACCAATATAAAACGAGAGGCATTCAACCTTTTGTATTATCTGCTGTAAAATCTGAACGAGGCTGCACATGATGTTTAATGACTCATGTATCACACTGCTGCAGCTGTGCACTGCATTTATCCACTTACTAACCTTCTCAATTCTTAACACCCAGCGCTTGACGTGCAATTTGTGTTCCACATGGGGTGCAAACGTGACTCTTCTTAATCATAAATTGTCATACATCTGCTACCAAGGCGGTGCAACAAAAACGACAAATCAAACCTGTGCTGACAGATCTCTATTCATGATTTAATGGTCAAATAATAGCTTAATGGGATTCTAGAATGGCAACTATGAAACTGAAAATCTAGTCCAGTTTTTGTCCTCCAGTTTTTTGGGGGGATTTTTGGACAGGCAGCGCCGCTGCACTCTTGCCAAACTTTAATTTCCCTTCTGCAGCTGCACTTGCCAAACGCAGCAGCCAGGCTTGCTGCCACGAGGGCTGGTATAGATTCCACTGGCGTTTAGAAATGCATCCTCTCATAAGCCTTTTCCACATAATCTCTCTTTTCAGAACGCAGGCCTAAAATATTAAGTGATTCAACAGAAAAAAATATCAGAATCACTGAGCCACGCAAATCTCCTCGGTTACAGTTTTGCTAAAGGGCCGAGGGCACACAAACAGTGACGCGCAATATAATACACAAGAAAAAAATGGCCATTTATTTCTTTCCAGAGTGAGGCCCATAGCACTGCAGATATGCAGGGTTGACAAGAAAAGACAGTGGGACAGCAGAGAAAGTTGTCATCGCTAAAGCTACTGACAGTTTGGAGATGTCATTTATCATTTGGCTGAGTGCAGATATTGTGCAGCTGAGAGACAATGGAAAAACAGCTCCATATGCAGGTCTGCGGAGAGCAGAGAGCTACCTGCTGCCTGAGGGGGAACGTGTAAGACATGTCCACATCTGTCAGCCAACTTTCTTATCTCCCCAGTTCTTTCATCTCTCCACCATCCTCACCTGGGGAGAAGAACCTCTCCGCTGCTCTCTGAGGGACCCCCAATGCATCAGACAAATTAATTACAATATACAGAGCACAAACATACTGCGCATCCTTTTGGAGTGAATGCGTGTGGTGTGAAGACGGTGTCTAAGGACACACTGTCATGTACACACATGACACCAACTCCAGAGAGAGAGGCTGAACCAAACTCAGGCTGTCAGAGCGGTCTGGAATACCTGGAGAAAGCTGTCCGTTAACATTCCCATTCATCTCAAAGGCAGTAGCTCAGCTGGTGCAGAGACCCCTTTGTGATGCAGTCAGGTTAGTCAGGTTGTTTTGAGCTAATGCCATGTAACTAATCAAAAAATTATATCTTTAAAATACTGATTGGTTAACGACATTAAACACACACACAAAAACCCTCAAAAGCCCCAAACCTTTCATTAGTGACTATTCTGAGCTGTGACATAAAACTGCACGCACAGTACCAGTTATTTTGAATAATTAAGATCTTTTAATGTTTTTTAAAGAAGTCTCTTATGCTCACAAAGGCTGCATTTATGTGATCAGAAATGCAGTAAAACAGTAATAGTGTGAAACATTAACATTTAAAATAAGTGTTTTCTATTTTAAAATAGAAATCATTCTAGTACTCGGATTTGGTGCTCTAGAAACATTTCTTATTGTCAATGCTGAAAAGAGTTTTTGCTGCTGAATAGCATTAGAGATTTCTTTCAAAAACATTAAGAAATCTTAATTATTCCATTCATTCATTAAAAAATGCTAATAAAATGCTATTAAGGGATTCAATCAATAACTTAAATGGAAGTTAAGTATAGGTTTTAAAGTGTTAAGGGTGGTATTTAAAGAATAATTACATTATTGTTGGCAAAAAGTTGTAATTTAGTTCCAAGGCTCTAAATATTAGCGCAAGATTAATTGAGAGTTATGTCCCAAATGAGGCACTATACACTATGCACTCTACCGTCTAGTGTAAGTGCTATTTTGTCATCCAACATTGAAATTTAGCCCTACCCCCTGCAATACGCAAGGAAAGCTGCAACAGAGTGCATGAAGAGTCCAACATTCCACACACTTTTTTTTGTTTTGTTATTTTTGCTTAATTAAGTGCATTATCCAGGTATATAAAGTGGACTTTTTGGGAACTTTCAGTGTAACCACATTTCTTACACTATTTATGCTACAAAATGGCATAGAAACCTCAGGACACTGTTTTACAAACTTTTTGAAAGACGATATTTGGAGGTCCTCGTATCTAAGCTTATATTTACCTCTGGTGCTTCTGTTGTAATAAAAATAAATAACCTCAAAAATATGATGTCAATGAAATGTTATGAACTAAAATAAATGTAATTATTTTAAGGCTTATTGTGGCCCCCGGTTGAGAAGCACTGATCTAGGACATATGATGGCAAATTTTTAAGAAAAAAAAAAAATCTCAGCAAAGACACCTGATGCAAGTCTAGCCTCCCAGTAAATCAATATATGAAGAATTCAGATCACAGAGTGGGAGTGGGGATGAAATAAGCCCAGTTGAAATGAATGGGAAATGTCTGTATGCCCACGAAAAGCACCTGGACTGGAGACCTGAATCAGACTGAAGGTGCTAAACACTGGCAATATGCCATAATCAATGACTGTCATGGAGAATGTGGGGCGAGTGTCCTACTGTATGTTCAGCACCACTAGCATCAATAAACAGAATTAAATGTGAAAAGTTCAGCTTACTAATGGTTTAATTATACCTGATTCTGCATGGTGAGATAGGAGAAGATATTTTAAAATCCAAAAAAGTAAAAACCTTAAACACCAGTCTCAGGCAGAGGCTACAGGAGGGAAGAAAAGAAACCAAGAGAGAGAGATCAGTGGGTGGGCAGAGGGACACGTGAAGCGTGACTGTTGCTTTAACCTTCGTCACTGGCCCCTGACATGAGGACAAGACTTGAGCAGCTGCTGTCTTACCGTCAAGCATCCCATAAGGCTTTGCTCAAATGGCCGCTGGAAGGCTCGTGGGTCTCCACACCAGTCCAGTAGCTCCGTGGCCGCTGTCTGGAAATTGGCCGGATTCTGTAAGTGCTGTTCGAACAAAAGAAATCACAAAAATTACAACATTAAAATCTAGAGAGAAAATCAATATTTAAAAATGTAATTTTTAGCACTAAAAATAAACACCAAAAATATTCAAATATTCAACACTGTTGTGAAAACATAACCATAATACTTCAACATGACATGTTATCATCACATAAATATCACGTAAAAATCATAATACTCTAATCATACTAAAACTTCACACGCAGGAATTCAAGATAAGCATAATAAAAGTACGTTTACCAACCTAAAAAATAATTCCACTAAGAAAACTTTTATTTAGAAAACTTAAATAAAATAAAAAAAACAAAGAAAGAAAAAGAAAAAAAATCTCTTAAAGAAATTCTGTCCAAAATTAGAATATATAGAAATATCTTCTTTTATGTTCCATAGAAGAAAATCATACAGGGAAATCAGTTTTGATATATAACTTGATATTTAATATATCATAAAATTGAACATAATAATTTTACAACAACTATTACTTATTAATACATTCATATTATAACTGCAATTAAAAACTCTGAAACGTGTGTGGTGTTCTTATTTACATACTGAGGGACATGTCAAAATTTATGTGAAAAAAATAATATAATTTAGACTTTGTTCTATTCTAGAATATTTCTTTAAACAGACAGAAGCACTTGAAAACCTGCTGAAAAATATTTAATGAATATATATAAAAAAAACTTTGAGGATGTGAACCAAAAAACTAATCATTCAACTGATTCTGCTCCTTTCTGAATCATATACCATATTCCTTATACATTTCATGGCATATTGACAACCAGTATTCAACAAGGAGTGGTATTTTGTTCTTAAAGTGGATATTGTTTTCAGTCAGCCAAGTGCTCCAACTCCTCCTGCCCTTTGACTCGGTGCATCTGCACAGCCCTGCAAGAACCCAGCCGGTAACCCAAGGCCTCCTGGTCTGAACACAGCTGTGCATTCTGGGACAAATCCACCCTCCTGACAAAGAGCTCAGTGTGCTTCAAGGCCTCCTCACACACCGCAGTTCGTCCTAATCCAGACTCTTCAACATCTTTTGTCCACTAAGATGTAATAGATCTGCACCTCTGAAAGCATTACTCAAGCAGAGCCGGCCAATAAGGCGAGCACAAGAGGGGGGGCTTTGTGGCAGAATTTAATGAGAAGAGGCTTATTCTCTTTCTCTTCCCTACGATTTTTTTATTTATTTATTGAGTGCCAAGGTTGTTTATCCTCCCCTCAGGACCGCCCTCCCCCCACCCAAACTCTCCAGCGACCGGTGGCGCACAAGACATGACAAGAAATTTAAACAAACGAGCAATCTGTACTCCCTCTTCAGAGCCTTTGCACGTTTAATGCTCCAGCGCTGTTTGGCCACTCTGAGGAGGAGACTGCGCACTTTGAAGACCATTATACTCCGACGGACACCTCCTCTTCCCCGGCTCGCAGCGAGGAAGCGGCATTGTCTTCCGAGGGCGGCAGAGGTCGCCATTTGAATGAGCGAATTTGGTGTGTGTGTGTTGACAAAGAGCTCATCTGACAAAGAGCCAATGTCTACTGCCGCAGAACCCTGCTGAGTAAATCCTGCACAGCATAAGGGATATGCAGGTAGAAAATGATCCCCCTATCTCCGCAAAAAGCTGGTGGAAAAGAATCTCCATTTTGAGGGAGGTGATTCTTTGTTTAAGCGGACATTCTGGTGTCTGGCTCTTACCACACGATTATCAGGAAAGAGAGGAGGGGATGGAAAGCTCGCTGTTGTGATGGTGGGCACTCAGAGCCGTGTGTCAGCAGTGAAGGGTTTTTGGCAGGATCGCAACACAGGTGTTAACGCAACAGCAGCTAAATCTCAGCACTCCACCTTTCCCCTGCTAAGCATGTGGTGTCCAAACAGGACCTCGCCACCTCAGGGCAGCTCTGTGTGTTATGATCAGTCACTCCAGAGGCATTAAAGTCATGTTGCTTGACCAGGCCTGAACATCTACACTTCTGATCATCTATACTACAATATCACTGTAAATACGGAAAATAAGATTTTTCTTGCTTCTTTCTTGCTGTCCTCCCAGTCCAATTTTATGAGCTAAGTGGCAAAAATTTATCGTTGTGAAGCAATATGTCACAACCATAAGAATATCCATATACACAGTTCTCACACATACATGGAAAACCTATTAACATACGATTTCTAGGCCAATTGTATATAAACGCATATTTATAATATATTTATATAATTTTAAATAATTTTTTTTTATATATTCTTGTACTGGTGCAGGAAACATGATAAAAAGTACAAAAATAATAATAAAAAGTACAGAATATGACTCTAAACTGACTACATTTTTAATTCTAAATTAAGAAAATAAAACTCATATTAGGACATTTTATGTAAAGGAATCTTCAAATTATTCAAGTCGCAGTCAGACAAAAGACAAAAAAAGAAGGTCAGGATCTTGAAATCTTAAGGGCGATTTCTCTCATCAGCTAATCTGTCATAGGAAATCCCTGAGCACGAGCTCATTTCATCAGTCCTACACGGGACATGGACCATGAATAACCGCCTTCTCCAGTATCAGAATACTCTTCAGCAAATTTGTATTCATGTTCCATGTGAATGATAATTTCTTCTTAAGAAGAAAAAGAAAAGAAAGACTGTCTAATTAAACTGAGTCGCTGTGCCATGTTTCACTTATTATTTCTAATCATTAAATTCCTCCTCATGCTCTTCATGGAGAATGAGCCAAGAGAATTGTTCTGATCATCCGAACGTTTATCATGCATTCAAAGGTAAACACTGTGAATGATAAGAGTTTTAGTTTTACTTAGCAGAATAAATTGAAGCTCAACAAATAGGAAAAAGAAAATGGGGACACTAAGCTCAGACTCCACAATTTATATATATAAATTATATATATATATAGAGAGAAACTAAATTAACATTTACTAACTGCATTGTTTACATTATACATTATATTGTTTTCTGTAATCTTTTGAATCTGCTTGGCTGTTCCAAAATGAAAAAAATATATATATATTTATATATATATAAATATAATATTTATATATATATAAATTACATAGAGAGAGAGAATAACTAAATTAACATTTACTAACTACATTTTAATGTAATCTGTTGAATCTTGGCTTTTTTGCCAGAATTATGGTTTCGCAAATTTCATAAAAGTATATTACTAAACTGAATTGTTTTGTTTAATATACAGTTAAAATTAACAAAAATTTGTAGGACAAATTGATCTGGCTGAGCGTGTGATTCGGTTCAATGCACCACTTCGACTTGAGTTGATTGTGATGTCAGTCTGCTCCTCTCAGACAGAAGAGGATCTCATTTTGTGTGATTGACAGCTATTGGCTGCTGACTGCTCAGTGTACGGGCTTTAACTGCTGGTGAGGAAGCCCGCGATGGGAAAACAGAGGAAATCTGTAGGAAGGGCTCTGTAAATGAAAGTCAGATGGCAGTGCAAGAGTCTGGCAGTATGAGGATTGAAAAAAAGGCAAAGAAGTCAAGAGAGAAAATGGTCCGTTTGATCGACATTACAATCACAACATGCTGATGGCTTCATGTGGGTGTTAGTCATGAGATTGGACATACTGTTTTACACTACTGTCATTATAACCAACTGAGTAAAGTTGAGGGAAGAATAGATTGTATGACAGGCAGGCGTATGATTGAGTGACAGGATGACAGAATGATGAAAAGAGGGAAACGGGACAGAGAGTGAAGGAAACACCCCTATTAGATCGAAAGAGTATCAGGTTTTTGACATATTGATGTCACAAACAAGAGAACGCTTAGAAATTGTCAAGGCACTGGCATTTCCATATAAACTAGAGGTCATTTACATATGGAAGTTTTAAATGTACTACTGTGTTCTGTGCAAAACTTTATTACGGTTGTTGCTGCAAAAAACCCTGACTAAAATATTAAGTGGACATAACATGATAAAGTATACTTTCTCTGCTTAAATTGAGCTCACTGGGACAAAAGTCCTGGCAGCTAAACTGACGACTCTCACCACACTAAATGTGCCATATCAATATGATTAATGAGCAGCAATCGATTGCGTTTTGTCTTTAGCTTTAATCAGACTCAATCTGCTACGCAAAACAGATAACAGTGTCATTTGTAACCAATTAAATAGGCTCAGAAATTCAATGGATTCTTACATGCTGTAGACATGATCTTATTAGCGCTAAGACTTGCCTAATTGATGCAGAGACAACAAAGCCTAGCGGAAATCTGTGTGGACATGAAAAATGCTGAACTGTCTGTAATATACAAGTTGGCATGTCAAATATTTCCATAAATCTGTCAAGAGATGCAAAATGTCACACCTACACAGCACACTGCAATTATCCAAGTCTAGAATCACAAGACATAGCATTGGGTCATACCTACTTGTGTGTAAGTCTGGCTATAGTTGTGTCATTTTTTACTTTTTCAAATGTCCTCTTTGATATATTAAAACATGAGGACATTTGAAGTGGTTTTCATAAACTGAAGTGCTCTTAAATCAGTCAAATCTTTGCTTTAAATGCACTGATACCCACTCGTTTAGAAACACTGTATAAAATGATGTGATGTGATGTGTAAAGCGAGTTGATCTGACAAATCAAAAGGGGAAAATGTAAAAAGTCTTAATTTAGGTATAGTGTTAGGTTTTGTGTTAACCTGTAGTCATTATACTCTACCATTCGAGTTTGGTGTTGGTAAGACTTTTTAATGTTTTTGAAAGAAATGTCACCAAGGCTGCATTTATTAAAAAATAAATAAAAAAAAATAAAATACAGTAAAAACATGTGGTTAAATATCATGACAATCTAAAGTAACTCTTTTCTATTTTAATACATTTTAAAATGTTATTTATTACTGAAATGACAAAGCTGAATTTTTAGCAGTCATTATTAGTCTTCAGTGTCACATGATCCTTCAGAAATCATTCTAATGATGACTTGGTGCTCATTAGTATTATTTATTATTATTTTTATTTATTAAGTAATATAATTATTATTTATTATTATTATTGGCATTATCATTATTAGAAATATTATAGAGAAATGGATATGCTGAAAACAGCTGTGCTGCTTTCCAGTTTTGTGAAACCCCTAATAAAGCTTTTTCAGGATTCTTTGATGAACAGAAAGTTCAAACATTTATTTAAAATGCAAATCTTTTGTAACATTACAAATGTTTTTACTTTCACTCTTGATCAGTTCAGTGCATCATTGCTGAATAAAAGTATTAATTTCCTTTTTAAAAAATCTTACGGTGCCCAAACTTTTGAACAGTAGCATAATTAGTTCAATTTAAAAGTAAAAGAAGCCTATGGCATGTCTGCATTTGGACAGCTAAGTAGTGTGCCTGTGTTTGTGAACACAAAAACAAGCGCCGGCTGATAGGGGATGCTTGGACAACAACAGGAGGAGGACAGCAGGGTTCAGACTCCAACCATATTCGGCAACCTGATATGAGCCAAGCTAATGGAAAACTACAGATCGCCATCAGAGAGGCAGTAGGAGACCCTGGAACAATGAACAGACAGACAGACGGATGGTCATTGTGTCACTGTGGTTCTTTTCTCCTCACCTGTTTGATGCACAGCAGCCTGTCATTGGTCTGCTGTATGTGCCTGTCCATCGAAGGAATCGAGTTCATCTTGACTGCTGCCTCCTTCTCTCTACCTGGAAGCCATTAAAGTTCTTCTCTCTGAAAAATGGACAGACAAAGAGAGGAGGGTGTCAGGCTGAGAGAAAAATGGGAGAGCACTTCAGCGCAAATCTGCGATCTCCTCACACGCTCAATGAGGCCCTGAAAGACACTGAGCGCTCAGATGACATTTCAGTAGTGGGTGAGGAGGAGCCGACCCATCCATCTTTCACGTTGACAAAGTTGCTCCAGTGTAACTTTGACACTCCTCTCAGTTTCTGACAAGTACAACTGTGATCTTCAAAAAAATGCTGGCAAAATAAATAGCACAACTCAGTAAGGATGGAGCAGAGAAAGTGTGTGTGTGCTGAAAAGAACTGTGACCAATTACACTCCAATCAGACCTCTGCAAATGCCTGAACCCCATCAGTGTGCCTATTACACGCTGTTAAAGGTATCAGGCCTTACATTCAAGGTTATCAATTTAGCCGCTGCAGGCTGATTTACAGTTGTGTTCACTGGCAAATAAACACGAGGCCCCGTAACTGGCGCTGTAACTCACTGCGCCGACATGCGGAAGGATTAATTGGTGAGGAACGGGAGTGTCAGGACTTCATCTCTCATCTGGCCACTTCACAGCCATCACTCTTAAAATTCCAAGGCACAAATGTGGAAAAAAAAAACAGGCAGATGGCAAAATTCCCCCCACCACCCACTGCAGCGGTCTGATAAAGCTCTCTTCAAATACACTGGCTGTGTGCGTGACAGGACGGGGAGCATCTCTGGCTCTCAGGAGGGTTAGATAGTGCCCTATATATGTTAAAGTAGACAGTGCATTTCAGGAAGTGATGTCGGGACAGGTATTAAGAGTGCTTTCTTAAGCTCGCATGAAATGTTTAAGCATGTAAGTCACGGATGAGGCAACATAGGCCTGGTACCCAAGAACTCAACCCTATCTATCCTTTTTTCACCCAATTACCAATTTCTTTTTTTTCTTTTTCTTTTTTTAAAGCATAAAAATTATATTTTCTTAGACAAGTCTCTTATTCTCACTAGGGCTGCATTTATTTGATATTTATTATTTGAAAAATACAGTAAAACAGTAATATTACATATTTAAATTAATATATCCTCAACAATGCTGACTTAAATAATTTCCCTATTCATTTCCCCCACCCCCCCAAAAAAACTTTTGAATTGTAGTGCATGCTTGGAAAAAAAAAAAAAAAAAAAAGCTATTTTCTCTCTAAACAAGTCATATATGAAGCAGTTTTTCTTCACAGATATATACACACTGGAAAACAATAATATATGGATAAACATTTTTTTTACACTATAAAGCACAGCACTAGAAACAGCAAGGGCATAGAAAATATGTGAGCTGATGTTTTTTATGCAATGGAAATTGCTCAAGATATATGCGTCTGCCAATGAGTAAATGTAATGCTAATTTGGCAAAATGCTCTGACAGGATTTGGGTCGGTGTGGTTGCAATGACAGTCAAAGGCCAGCAGGTGTCTCTCTCTCACACACACTGCAGTTCTGTCACCCTGACCATCACCACCACCACAAATAACTGCTGAGTGTTTCTTTAAGCCTTTACAAGCTGCTCCAACCCACTAACAGGGAACGTTCAAACCAGAGGCTCGCCTGTCTGACCTTGTGGCTACTGATTAACTATTTCCCTCCTTACCCCGCTGTCACTCTCACCTCCAGCTACCAGCTGTGAGAGCACGAGAGAGGGTGGAAGAAAGAGTGCTCTCACTCTCCTCCTCCTTCTCATGAGACGGCTTTTGTTTGGTGTGCAAACTCTAAGCTACGGATTTCAAGAGGGCAATGATGACATGAAAACATCTTTACAGCAGCAGCTGAACATCCTGATCTATGACGTCAAAGAGCCGTAAAGCAGAGTCCAAAACTCCACACAGCTTGATCACGCATCACTCTCTCACCCCTCAGGCAATGAAGGCTGGAAAAACACCAGTTATATAACACACCAACTACCTCAATGAAAACAAACTCTTGTTCTCATTATTCAAAGAGAAGCACAAGCTGGCCATGGAGTCATTCCAAACAAAAAGTTTACAGTCAAATACTTGGCCATGCTGGAAAAATTTCACAGTATTTAACTGCTCTTGGACCTATCTAACTCAAATCACATTTTCTTTATATAAAATACGTATAATTATAAGATTAAATGCCCATTATGTTTCTTATTAGCTGAATAAATAATTAAATATCATTTTATATGTGTTTCTGTGTGTGTGTGTGTGTGTGTGTGTGCATGTTTATTTTGCCTTTTGGTGGACATTATATCTCCAAACCTGCACTCTTATACTTAAAATATGCTACAAAAAATAATTTAAGTTGACAAGTGTGAATAACAAAAATATTGATAAAAAATATTGCGGACACAAATCACTTAATTCGTTTTAATTAACCAATATCAGTATCATAAAGCATAATATTTTATGAAATTTACACCACCTTTAAAAAATGACATGAGGTGTTGATATCCAGGTTTAAAAAAAAAAAAAAATCAACAGGATACAGAACCTAAACCTCAAAAAGCAGTAGGATAAATCATATCAGATGAATTAAACTAGACAATTCATATTGTCAGAACAAAAACAAAAGCAGGGAAGTGAAGTATAAAAAACACTGTGGAAAGCAGTTGTTTAATGGGGTCAGACAGAGGGCTGAGAGAGAGATGGAGAGAAAGAGAGAACTTAGTTTGTGCAGGGAGAATTATCTCTTCATAATCAGACACACACTGCATGAGCGACTTCTGCATTTCCACTCACGCTTAACTCTCTTTTCAAAGGCAGCTCTCTATAAATACCATCAGTCGCTCTCTTGGGTTAAGGACAGGGATTGAGAGACCGATACCAGCCTGGAACACAATTCAAGAAAAAGGCCAAGCTTAAAAGACTGATCATAATTACAGCTCACGCTCAGATCCGACCAAGAGATCTTTACAAAGCAACTCGACTCGTTCACGTGGTGTAAACTTCTCATTCACTACTTTAACGCAGGACAATAGTTTCACAACTCAATCAGCATTAAATCTTTTCAACCTCAATCTAGCCAAGAGCTGCCCACTTTTTAGGAAAGATCTGTCTGAATGACATGTCAAATGACCAATCAGAACTGATCTTGAAGTCATTAAAGAGACAGTTCACCCAAAATGCAAATTGTCACAATTTAACCTTGTTGTTTGCAGAACTCGAACATATTTTGAAGAATGTTGATAACCAGTTTGACAACATTCCTCAAAGTATCTTCTTTTATGTTCTGTAGTAAAAATATGGAAGACTATACACTTCGCTCTATCCTAGTTACCTTCTATTAGATATTTTAACATTTCCCCAAAATTTGCTGTCTCTCATCTGTCAGACTAATAAATCTAGTTATTAGTTCTCCATTGAAAACAGCTCATAAAACTCATGTTCATTTCCAGGTGGGCTGGTGCATTCTTGACTTCAGGAATGTTGCGTGGCACCAGCCAATCAGATCGGAACTGGCCATCTCAGCCAGGTCTCGTGCACAAAATGCCTCAGTCAGGCGGTCAGTGCATGGACTGTGGGCGGTCTGTGGGTGGAACGTATGGGACTCACTTTCAGCTTGGCTGATCAGAGTGCAGTCATACTAAAGATCAGACAGAGGGAAGCGTCTCAGCACCTGTTGGTGTGACCGCCACAGCTGAGTGGCAAAGAGACAAGGGTCCACAAGAAGTGCATCCCCGTTTGGCGCCACATTCCGCTGTCTTCTCGGATCAATCACCACCAACTAACCCTAAGCCACCTATAGTGGCCCCAAAAAGTATTTGGACACTTATACTACCGATCAAAAGTTCGGGGTTGGTGAGATTTTTAAATGTTTTTTAAATGAGTTTCTACATTTATTTGATCAGAAATAATTTGTTACAATTTGTGAAATATTTGTTGCAATTTAAAGTAATTGTTTTCCATTTTAATATATTTGAAAATGTATTCCTGTGAGGCAAAGCTGAATTCTCAGCAGCCATTACTCCGTTTTTCAGTGATCCTTCTGAAATCATTGTAATATGCTGGTGGTTTTCTGCTAAATAAACACTTCATATTATTATCAAGTTAATTTTTATTATAATAGTTAATTTTTGTGGAAACCATGACACATTTTTCAGGATTATTTGATGAATAGAAAGCTCAAAAGAACAGCATTTATTTTAAATAGAAAATTATTAATGTTGCAAAAGATTTCTGTCAAAGTATTATCAATGATCAAATTATCTATTTAATGTAATATTGCGGAAATTAAAAAAAAAAAAATCTTACTGACCCCATACATTTGACTGGATAACAAAACCTAAAAACCAAATAGCATCAGCAAACAAATGATGCTAGAGCTTTTCTCCCAACTAACTTTATTATTATCAGCCATATTCCACTTAATTTTCTCAAGTTCTTTTAACTATTGATTTACTGCATTTACTTTTAAAACCTATAAAAACTTTTTGAGAATTGCTTTGCATGAACTTCGATTCAGTTCAATTCAATTACCACTGTATATCAAAAGTACGAATAAAATCAATAAACAAATACATTTTCATCAAACTCCAAAACCTTATATGTAGATAAAACCCCAAAACTGTGAGAAACATGCAAACAGTGAAAGACAACCAAGCAAATAACCATATCGTTGGTGCTCTGAACCAATTTTGCGTGTGTGTGGCGAGGAGCAGTGAGCTGGACAGTGGCCCCTGCAGACAGCACAAGGCAGCGTTTGTTATGCGAGTCCAGAAAGGCAGCGTATTGTCCTGACCTAAAATGTGCCGTAATCTCCTGAGCAGTCTCTCTAGCACCATATGTGTGTGTGTGCTGGCCTCCTCCTGCCCCCATCTCTCCTTTTTTCCCTCTCTTTCTCCCCCATTCTCTCCTGCCACTCAATGCGCTCCTCCTCCCTCTCTCTCTCTCCGGAACCCAGGCTGCGCGCTGCTTTAACAGGCTGGGGAATGGATTCATTTCATCTAATGTGGTTTGGTCTGAAGCAGAGCCACTCACCCTGAGCAAGAGGCTCCC